TCCACCAATTGGTAAAGAACATCATTATTATTAATACCAAATTTCAATCCATTTCCAATTTTTGGTGCAATTTTCATATCAATCCAATTAAGAGCAGACTGGTTAAAAGCTGATAGAAAATGTTTGGCGTAGCCGAGAAAAAACCGTGTCGAGACACCTCAGCAATTAGATTATGAGCCTGAGTTTGAGCGAATAGTCAACGAGACGTAGCCGAGTTGACTGTGGCTCATGGAAAATGAGGGGAAAATGAGAAAACCAGCAAAAGTTTTCTGTTTGATAATTTTTTCATCCTCCTTTTTGCATGGAGAATAAGACCAGGATTGAGGAACCGGGCCTTCGTAATGGATCTTGTCACACAGTTATTATTTAATGTTTGGCAGATCTCTGAAAGCTGTCTGAAAAGTAATTCCATTACCGTTGTAAACGTTAAACTTCTATTTATTTTAATTTTGGGATGAATCTAAACATGCAAAACAGGGAACCGTTTTTGCAATATGTGTTTTCTTAACTTGATTGTGTTGGAATGTTATAAACGTGTATGTGTTTCTTTAATGGATTTAAATTTGCCTTATTTTAATAGGTGGATTGTGTGCGGAAAGATGTTCTGGTGGGAAATCCTGTCGTCAGTTTGGACAATATCTCTGTCTTTGTGAAAAGGGAAAGACAGGAAGAAATTGTGAAGAACAGGGTATGTTATCTAAATTCTTTAGTTCTTATGGAGTTTTTATTGAATTCAAATGCTCACAAAACTGATACACAAGTTTATTCATGTATGTTTGACAGTCTCATTGGTGGTAGCCATAATTATCTATNACCAAATTTCAATCCATTTCCAATTTTTGGTGCAATTTTCATATCAATCCAATTAAGAGCAGACTGGTTATAAGCTGATTGAAAATGTTTGGCGTAGCCCAGAAAAAACTGTATCGAGACACCTTAGCAATTAGATTATGAGCCCGAGTTTGAGCAAATAGTCAACGAGACGTAGCCGAGTTGACTGTAGCTCGTGGAAAATGAGACAAAAAATGAGAAAACCAGCAAAAGTTTTCTGTTTGATAGTTTTTTATCCTCCTTTTTGCATGGAGAATAAGACCAGGATTGAGGTAACGGACCTTCGTAAATGCATCTTGTCACACAGTTATTATTTAATGTTTGGCAGATCTCTGAAAGCTGTCTGGAAAGTAACTCCATTGCCGTTGTAAACGTTAAACTTCAATTTATTTTAATTTTGGGATGAATCTAAACATGCAAAACAGGGAACCATTTTTGCAATGTGTGTTTTCTTAACTTCATTGTGTTAAAATGTTATAAATGTGTATGTGTTTCTTTAATGGATTTAAATTTGCCTTATTTTAATAGGTGGATTGTGAGCGGAAAGATGTTCTGGTGGGAAATCCTGTCGTCAGTTTGGACAATATCTCTGTCTTTGCGAAAAAGGAAAGACAGGAAGAAATTGTGAAGCACAGGGTACGTTATCTAAAGTCTTTAGTTCTTATGGAGTTTTTATTGAATTCAAATGCTCACAAAACTGATACACAAGTTTATTCATGTATGTTTGACGGTCTCATTGGTGGTAGCCATAATTATCTATACCTTGGTATGAAACAAGGAAAAGCTTTGACGATACCCTGTTTGTTTTTGTTTAATTCTTTAATTACAGCTCCAGAATTAGTGCAAAGTTCTCCGAAAGACACCCATGAGCCGAAAAGATTCACATACAGATTGGCAAATATATTTCAAAACATTTTCTTATGATTGCAAATATTTTGAGACTAGAAGATTTGTTTTAATGAGAAACAAAATTTCAGTTAATATATGCTCCATATCTGAGTTTTCATCTTTATCACTGTCTCTGCACTTGCACGTCTACATATATACATACTGTCCGTATGTGCCTGTCCCGAATAAAGTTTTTCCAGGGCTAACTTTGCTTACAGGGCTTGCTCTTGTTCTTGTTAACAGAAGAGTTAAAGAATACTCTTGCTGTTGGAATTGAGTTCAACAATCTAGAATATGAGCCAGAGTATGAAGACTTGGAGAATCCAACAACGGAAACGCTTGTCAAACTAATAGAGGATGCTGTAAGAGATTTTTATTTATGATTTGGAGACAACCTTTTAATTAGTTGTATTATTTAACGATTGATCTTAGGAATGTATTTGAAACTGATTTCTTTTAAGACTGCTCGAACCCTCAGGTGAGTGAAACTAGATGGAATTTTCAGAAATCACGAGTTGTGTAAATCATTACTGGCTTGATCTTTCATGGCACTACTCATTATACGGCTGATAAAGTAATATTATTACTATTTATAATAAGTTTAGCGGCTCCCAGCTAATTATATTTCACAGACTCTGTTCGAAATATATGAGAACAAATGGTAGGAATTTCCCAGTTAGTGCTTCAAACCACTTTTTAACGCCAACAGAAGGGCGAACCCCGCTAAAGAAAACAATACTAGGAGCCTGGGTATACCCACGAGGCCCTGGGACCTAGATCTCGTGGTCCCATGATGCTTCGGTGGCTTTTTTCCTCGTGCTTCAATCCATTCAGGAAGTATTTTGCTTTTGCCTTACCCTGCCTTGCCGTATTTTAGACTATACTTCTGTGTTTTTACACAGTAGGTTTCTTTTTGGTGATATTTGTCGCTTTTCAGGATATTTAAAACCGCTGAACATGTCCCACAGAAGACACAAGTCGCGTAAGAGGAATCGTTCCCAGTCACCATCTTCCTGCCAAAACTCTGTTTTGTCGCCTGACGTACATCATGAAGGGTCCCTGTAGAAACGGCGTAAGGACAAAAACGATTCCCTTCAAAATAATTTTCAGTCTATTGAACGTCTTTTCAACCGAATAGATTCGGTAGAGTCCCAAGCAAATCAGCCAGAAACTATTGCAGATACTGACAACGATGCTTACCATTTATGGCTGGTGAAACATCAGGCTTGGAGAAAAGTGAACCTTTGCCGACCGAAGGGTCTTTTAAGACTGCTACTACGTCCGTTGGGGCACCCGTAAAGCCTATTAAGGCACCCGTAGCGCCTATTCAGGCACCCGCAGCACCTACTAAGGCACCAAGAGAGTCTGGTAAGACATCTGACGAAGCTGAAAACTCAGCGAAATGTAGTGATGCTCATGGGCTGTTCGACCCAGTTGCCAAGTCAACCTCCTGGAAACCAGCAGCCTCTTTCTCCAAGTTTCTAGATACCAACTTTCGGAGAAAATTATCTTACCTGCAATCTCTGGTTATTATGGATTACTGGGCAACTCCTGAAGTGGATGCACTCTCTGCTCCAAAACTCGATCAGCAATTGTTGAATCAAGGACCATTTAGAGTGAAAAAGTTTGTACAAGAAAGGGACAAGGCAATGTTTAATGTTGAGCATGCTTTCTTAAATGCCACAGGCCCACTTTGTGGCGTTCATGATTGTATCGAAAATGATTCAGCTCCAACTTATGAGGAAATTAAAGCAGCTTTGGAGCATGCTCTTTGCCTTTTAGGCTCAGCCAATGCTCAGCTGTCTATCCTTAGACGACAGAGAGTCCTAGCCACCATAAACCGTTCGTGGACAAACCTCGCAGAATTACCTCTGCCTAATGCAAAATCATAGCTATTTGGAGATGATTTCCCCTCCCTGGCCTCAAAACAGGTCGAGTTTTCAAGAGGCCTCACGAAAAATTTGGCACAAACTACAGGGAAATCCTTTTCTAAACGTAGTAATAGTTCCCATTCTCAAAGCAAACATCGAGGAGACACCTTTAACAAGTAACAATCATTGGGTATTCAAACCCATCTAAATCTCAGTCAAATTACCAAGGGCCTCGATCAAAAAATGGGCTTTTTCGTCCCCCTCACCAGGGACGTCAGCCAGACTCTCAGAGTGCATAATGTCTTGGAGAACCCTAACATCGGACACACAGATTCTCTCAATTGTTTCAGGTTACAAGATATGTTCCTCAAAACTCCTTTTCAAATGTCTCCACCATTTACCCAAGCATCGGGTCAGGTGGCACTCCTAATCTCCAGGAAGTGAGCGAGTTATTGTAAAAAGGGGCCATACAAAAAACCCCTTTTACCAGAGACGGTTTTTACAGCCGCCTGTTTCTTGTACCCAAAAAGGAGGATCTATGCGTCC